TATAAAAACCCCGGACAGCGTCCTGCACTTGGGAAGAAGCAGATTTCACCCTGACATTTTGGTCAAGTGTGTGCATGACTAAGTTAATTAAATCCCAAATTCTCTTGACTTACAAAGGCTACCACCTCACATTATTTTAGAATAACAAAATAAAGGATGTATCTTGTAGCATTATACTTTGAGTTGTTTTGCATTTATAGAGAAACACCACATTGTGAGGGCATGTGCATCAGTATCGATGGTGAGAGATGCCTCCTGATTAAAGTAACAAGTGCATCTCAAAGTTTACCTGGCATCCTCCATTTAAACCAATGGAACATCATGCAGTGAAGTGAAGTGATGGTGACAGGTTTAGAAAATGGCCTGAAGGTGATACTGCACACAGCTGTGAAAGGGTAAAACCAGTTATCTCTTACCTGAAAGGTTTCCGCAGCAGCAGCAGCTCGAAGAATAACTGCCTAAATCTGCACAATTAAGACATGGTTTGTTACAGACATGGCATACAGCTGCAACAGTAGGGCTGACCTGCAGACGCCACCATTTAAACTGTAAACAAACATTTAATCACTGTTTTAACGAGGATGTAATTCCTACAGTGTGGGGAGTTTCGTCTAGTTTGAAGGTTTTATTGTGAAAGGTTTTCAAAGGAAGCAACTAACATGTCAACGTCTGCCTTGATACCACAGGAGTCAACGGTTGTCACTCATATGTTCGTTGCCCTCTAGCGGTCACAGTGAGTAACTGCATCTGCATATTGTTCAAAGGCAATAATACAGAAAGTCACTGTAAAAACTACATATGTAATAAATACAAATACTTGACCTCTGGGAAATATTTTTTGGGGCAAAATGATGAATTTAAAAAACGAATTAATTAGTAAGAAAGTAAGTAACAGTTGCAGCTCTAGTCTGTAGTACAATTTAGTAACAGGTGATGTTGAAGGTGAAAAAGTAAAGCGTGAAATAAAAAGAAAACTTGTGGATAATCTGAATTTATTTTCAGAGACTGCATACACTCAAAGCTACACATATTAAATATTTACCTTTTCCATAAGGTGGTCATTTTGACGTCATTTAGAAAACTTGTAGACTGTTTTTTGATTAGAGTAATAATCCATTAGAGTATTTTTGTTGAATGACGAATTCTCTCACACTCACGCACGCACGCGCGCGCGCACACGCACGCACACACACACACACACACACACACACACACACACACACACATCCCTCACACAACCAAAAATTGTCTATGTGCACGCCTAGTAACACTTCATGTATATTCATAAGGGGAAAACAGGACACTCAATATGAGCTCTTTAAATGTATCGTCCAATATCCTCTGTATATTTCATCCAACTATGTCAACATTGGAAATTCATTTTGAGATCGACAGTCTTTCTTTCCACTCATCTGACCACTAACTTCAGCCTCCTCATCAAAAAGCCAAGAGTCTGTTCTCTTCAGTCCCCTCTGCCATTTAGGAAAAGTGGATCCCTGCAGAATTGAATGCATGCAGCAGTCTGAGGATGAAAATAAACACCCACAATTAAAAAAGTCACATAAGCTATTTATTTCAAAGTAGATTCCTTGGCAAAGAGTGATCGAAGAAACAATTAAGTAAAAAGATGTTAAACTTACACCATGAAGTCATCGATGTCCATGGACCTGGCTCTCTTCTCACTGAAATCAGCCTCCTGTAAAACGCTCTCAATCTTCTTGCTGATGCTGAAGTCTGCTGGGACTTCCTGTCAAGGTGAAAAACAAGACTTTAGATCCAAACTGGCCAACTGGTGAGTTCAAAGCAGTAGGCGTGCACTCTCAAAAAACAATTACTAAGAGTGGAACATGACTGAAAAAGCTGCACCCTGGGATATTCACTCACCACATTATGTACAGAACAGTGAATTCTGTAGTTCTTTTCCAGCAGCTGTTCCACCGCAGTCGACCTAGAAATTGTAAAATCAACATGATCATCTGTTTTTTTTTCCTCTATTTTTTTTTTCCCCTCACATGCTCTTTTAAGAGAGGGTGCTTCAGTTAGAGTGGCAGCGTCTGCAGCAGGCAGGTACTCACTTGAAAGCTGCATTGAGGGTTTTGTTTTTCCTTACGAAGGCTATTCTGACCAGGCCGTCCCACTCCTTTTCAGGAAAGAGGAAAACACAATGCTAAATATCTCTAGTTCATCTCCTGCTGTGACCGACTACTACATATTCACAGGGTTGACCACTTTAAGAATCAAACCTCACCTGAAAGTTAACTGGAGGGGGAGGATTTTTTGGTTCTATCCTGACAACACTTGACTCCACTTTTGGAGGAGGACGGAAATTATTCTTCCCTACCTGATAAAAGGGGGAAACAACAACAACACTGAGACAAAGTTGAAACACAGGAAAAATCTTGATGAAAATGAATCATCTAAGAGACACGGTGATGATGCTGCAGTGCCTGGAGAGTTGCTGTCAGTGTGATAGGCAAACATCAGAGGGTGCACACCAACCTTCATGAGGTGGTCCACACGAGCCAGAAGCTGTGTGTTGATGGACAGCCTGCAGTACAGCTTGTCTCCTGGTTGAGCGACCAGTCGCATAGCAAACTCTCTCTGGAACATCAACACGGCACACCTGAACAAAAGTAAAATCAAAGAGCTGCTGGATACTCAACGTGGACATGAGATGAATGCAGTTAAAACTCTTTTTTATTTACTTTCTTACCTGAAGAAAGGTCGATGCAGCAGGAGCTTGAAGACAAACGGTGATGAAATCTGCACAAGAAGAAAATGAGAAATGTCTAGTTTTAGATAAATGCAATTAATGATATTATCAAATCAACTGTGTGGAGGAAAGCAAGTCTTTACCTGGTAAGGTAAATTAGCCACACAGACGTCAAAGAAAGGTAGATCTGTTTTTAATACATCTCCAACTAATATTTGAAGTTTGGTCTGCATGGGCCTGTGAAAAAACACAATGTCCTTTCATTAGATCAAATATTCACTTTCTATTTAAATGCAGATACTATGCAAATTTATGCTGGCACAGTGTTGTTGTTGTCACTCACGTGCACTGTACTCTTTTCTGAAGTTCAGCTACCAATCTGCAGTCCAACTCACAGGCCACCACCTGCAAAAACACCAATTACTGTTTAGACTGAACAGTGACAAATAACACAGGCCTAAATTATTATTGGCCCATTTGATTGTGTTTAAAGCCAGCAAGAAGCTGCAGCAGAGTGATAAGGTTCTCAAAAGGTATTAGTGAGGTCATGAAAATGTTTTGAAATGATGGGAAACAACATGAGGTATGGTTTAAAAAAGGATAGTCTACTCAACAGAGCTAGATTTCTGCCTAAGAAACAATTAATTGGTCATTGATACGTGTAGATGGGAAACAATATTTCCTCTGGGCAAATATTAAATGCATTATCGGAGTGATTGACTAGTGATACACCAGGGACACCACAAACTCCAGAATCTTAGCTGTGTAGACTATCTTTACTTTTAACTGTGCACATAAGGCTTATGTCTTCTGGCCCTTTTTATAAGGATGTAGGAGAGAATGTGGAAAACTGAATAAAAGCATCACACACACTGCACTTTTTATAAATTACCACATAGTAATATATTATTTAATTCCATAAGCTTTCCCATCTCAACTTAGAGCAAGATAGCACTTTTTGACAGTCTGACCTTCTTGGCCTTTTCCAGCAGTTTAACCGTCATATTACCGGTACCAGGTCCCACCTCCAGAACCACATCTGTCGGCCTCAGAGCTGCCTGAAAAACATAACACATGCCAGCTCAGCCACAACCATGGGTCAGGAAGACTGCGTATCATGATTGTCTGCGTGCAGGATTTGTCTTCAAAATGCTTTTTTTCTTTTTGCTATTATGCATGTGTGAAAAACTCAACTGTACATGAACTTCTCAGTGCCAGAGTGCATTAGTACAGCCCACCTTTTCAATGATACCATTGACAACCAAAGGGTTCTTCAGGATGTGCTGGCCGATGCCAGTGTTGAACATGATCCCTGCAACAAACAACAAACAGGACACTGTATACTGGGCTTGTGTAACGATTAAAGCAATTCCTGGTAAAACAATTAGATTCAATTTCCTATTTCCACTGTTGACAAACTACTTCTAAGTCAAAGGCTCTTTGTCTGTTCTGTAGTGTATAACACCAGATTCACTCAATAATGTAGTGAATGAAGTCATGGCAATTTAGCAGTTAAACACAGGACACACAACACACACTATTTAACACTTGATAAGATACAGTTTTGACATTAACTGATAATATGGTGGAGACTTCGCCGAAAGAACCGCAAGACATTTGATGATTCAACTCGTACCCTAAACAGTGCTGTATGATATGTGGGTATTGACGGGCAGGTGGAGCCAATCCAAATCAAGATTTTTTTAATTAAGTTTGGTGCCTTGTAACGTAATTAGGGAACGTGAGCTGAGCGTTACGAACTCACGTAAACAAACCTCTAATGTCAACATTTGTGACAGCGAGAACTTCAGTAACCATCAATGTGTGATGTCTGACATTGGTATGGTGACGGAGTTTAAAACTGCTCATTGTTTTGTATCGACAGGATGATGAACTTTGACTTTAAAGCCCGTTTTCTTCCAGCAGCTGACCGTGGTGTTTGTCATGCTAACGCTAACCGCGTCCCCGGAGAAACATACCTTGGTTTTTCACCTCTTGGTGCTGCCTGCTCTTCTTCTCGGCCTTAACCTTCGGCATTTTTACTCGGTTATATTCCCGTTAAAGATCCAGAAACCACCAAGTTTGGAACAATCATTAAAAATATATCCGTCAACTCTCGGGAAACACGTGTGAGCCCGTTTCTTCTTCACTGACAGGATGTGCGGTAGGCTTAAACCTTTCTGCGCTTTCTGTGTCGCCCACTAGTGGCAACTGGACGCCATCTACATTGCTTTTACAAATGAATCCTACTGCTGGTTTTAATAGTTTTATTTGATTTATGTGACAATACAACACAGAAACATATAAACATGAGTAAATAGAGTCATTATCTAGTCAGAGATAGGAAACTCCTCCAGTGTCATGACAATGTCTCGAAGTTTGGGATCATCCAGCCAGTTGACTTTACAGGCCAAGAGGATACCCTGGAGAGAAACGCATACATTATACATCAGCTGCTAAGTTCATTGCATGCATTAACCATTTCCAAACCTTGTACTGACAGAAAGTATGTTTCAATTCCTGTACAATTTACCCTGAGGACATTCTGTGTCATGATGGTCATCTTTTTATATTTCTCCAGGTTGGCTTGGCCTTTCTCCAACACTGCTTTGTACTTCTCTGTATCTGGATGATCTTTCTTGGACATAAACTCTTCCATCTCTTTCATTTTCTCATGTGTGAGCCGTTTCATCTCTACACACAAAAAAAAAAAAACATTGGTGCCAAATTTACTCTAGTGTCAAAACAATTAATCAATCAGTTGTTCAACAGAAAATGAATAGATGACAATTCTGATAATTCATTGTTAGTCATGTCATGTGCACACGGAACAAGGAAAAGCTCCATCACACCAAAATTAAAAATAAACTACAGAACATACCAAGCCTCTTCTTCTGTATTTCTGAAATTTCATCTTGAAGAGCTCTAGACTCCTGTTGAAAAAATAAGAGGGATTTGGGTATGAAATTAATTGATATCACCACACGTTGGGCAAGTTCAAAGCAAGTGAGTGATGTCAGTGAGTTTCAAAGGGAAACCAGTTTGTTGTAAGTTTTGCATAATGAAATATTTGTACAGAAATGTGTGTCCTGGGTCAGAAGAGACAATAACACACCATCTCAATATATCTGTTGGATCACTTATAATTCTGCTGGGACAAGTGATCACAGTGGCCTCACAAAAAACTTGTCAGCAGCATAAAAGCCTAATACAAAAAGTACAAACACAGTGCCACATTATCTATTGTCAAAGCACAGCTCGAAACTACTTTATACACAAAACAAATGTTAAACACATTGTCAGTGAAGACAATAAAGCAATGATTTAACAATGGACACACAATAGACGATGAGGCTACTTACTTTCTGAAGTTGTTTTATACGTGAACAAAGACTCATGCAGTGATCGCTCACAGCTTTCAGTTCACTAAAAAAAAAAAGCAGAAATGTACAAAACCATCATCAAAAAAAAGTTTTAAAAAAAAATAAATGTATGAGCTGTTTAAGCATGTTGTGAGTTGACATACTCAGCCTCTGCATCATTTTGTTTCAGGTTTTCTCCAATAGCATGCCACATCTGCATTCTGAAAGACACCAGTCAAATCAATGAATGGTCAAAGTTAACAAAGGCTCACAGCTTGTATATCATATATTATATCTTTATATATCATTATCATATATGCAGAGAAATCACAACATTCATCACAGAAAAATAAAGATTGTTTTAAAATCCATTTACCTGTGTAGTGTCAATGTGCTGTTAAAATGATTTGTCTTGACAGTTTCCAGTTCACTGACATAATCTGGTCTGGAACAATATATGTCAACAGAGTAAATTCTGACATTTGTTTTAAAGTCTAGATCCACATAGTTATTCCAAATGCAAATACTCACAAGTCTCTCTCAGCTTCAGATGTACTGCACGACCTCTTACTTTTTTCTGTCACAGAAAACTTGATTGTAATGCTTTGTTTGTGTATTTGATGAAAATACAATATGATGGAAATGAAGCGCTTATATATACCTGCATTGAGCTGTACTGCCATCTCAAAGCACTGGTTGGACATCTGCTGTCTTATTCTGACAAGAGACAATTACAAAGATTCAAACAACTGTCTTATAACAAGAGGTGATGTGCTTTCATGGGTGTGTAAGTGAATGGAAAGTGAATCTTAACCACTGGTGTTGGGGTGTGATTCATCAAAGAAACCAGCACTCAGCCACTGTGAGTTGAATAAAAACTGAAGTGTTAAAGCAGATGTGGAAGAAGAACCTCAGCATGTCTGCAGGCGAGGTATCCCTCTGTCCGGAGGAGCCGTCGGGAGCAGGGCCGTCATTCAGTGCCACAGCCTCCATCCTGTGGTTGAGGTGCACCGCATTGTTAGATGGGTCCATCAGAGAACAGTGAAGATGCCTGGAGAAAGTCTATTTCAGAGCACCTGGGTTTGATCCAAGAAGCACAACCACTAGACCAGTTTAGTAATGCTAAATTATAACTCTTTGCTACACAATTTGCTAAAGTAGTAAATTAATAGGCAAGTAACTAGCGACCTTGTCGTTACACGATAGTGACCCACTGTTTTTGTAGATTATACAACAGTTAGTTCCGACCAAGTAATTTGATTGGACGAGAGGCATTTCATGAGTGCTGCTATAGAGTACCACAGTACTGGGACTTTTAACTATATACATATGTATATCACTCCGCTCTACAGGTGCTCTATTAACCGTTAATTAGCGTTACATTAACGGTCGTTATCTATCTTATATTTGCAAAGATTAATACATTTCCAGAAACAACATTTGAATTAAATTATGCATGCTCGTAATGAAAAATAAACAAACATATTACGCTACAAACGCATGTGTCAAAGTCAAAATCTCCATGTGAGTAATTTACCTCCTATATAACGTTACTAGGATTAAACTATGGACCGATGGAGGTATAGGTAAATATATCTTACCTTGCGGTACGTTAGCCACTAACTACGAGTGCTAATTGAAACTTTGACGATAACTTAGCCAAAGGTTTCAGCGGCTGTCACACATGAAGCTTTGTTTACTGTCACTTTAGCTGTAGTTTTGTTTACATCAGTTAGTTTGAGATGGAAACCCCGCCGGGAAGTGACGACATACCGTCACATTTCTGCTCTAATGATGCAGCGCCATCTGCAGGTCAGGAGGGAGTAGTGACGGGTTGTCCGTACATAAAATCAAATGGTGTCAATTTCATTCAAGTTTCTTCTTATCTTATTATTTCCAAACCTACGAGTAAAGGGACGTCAAGATTAGCTGTCCAAAGGTAGATTCAATTCAAAGCGTATTACGCAGTACCAATGTCCAAACAAATGACTAATTTGCCAGGAAATTAGGCAACAGACTTTGAGAAGTGGTCTTGATGCATGGAACGGTTCTTTCTTTTCTTTTCTTTTTCTTTTTTACTTTTTACAAGACAAGTCTATAACAATGTTGTAAGTTGTGGACTGACTTAATACACAAAAACAGATCACCAATTCATCTCATGTCAAAGCACACACAAACAATTTTATGTATGCAATTGTTCCAAGCACAGTAATATCAGCACAGTTAGAAATTTAACACTTATGTGCACACAGTGGATGATGTGGCTGCTTACAAACTGATATTGTAAAATAAATGTGTAGGTTTCAGTATCTTGTAGACTGACTCACTCTTACAAGGTTTTCTGCAATAAAGAATCTTATAATAATAATTTATAAACTAAGCTACTTTACAATGCCTGTCCCTAAAATATATAAAACTCAACAAGTAAATGCATACAAAACAGCACACAAGTAATTTACAATCGATGACATGTCATAAAGGGTGAGGCACCAGTTACACTGTTGTATTTTTATATGTCTCAAAACCTAAGCTCTAATCCTTCAGATAATAAGCATCAGTCTATATGATCTCATCCACCTCGCTCGGAAAGCGGATGATCAGTCAGTGTAATCGCTCACTGCGGTGCTCGGCTCAATCAATAGAGAGCTTCTTCAATCTCGCGAGATTATCGTCCTGACCTCAGTGTACTGTTGACCAGCGACCAGTGATTTCTGCGCAGGCCTGGTTCTGAGCGTTGGTCTGAGACGAGTTTTCGCCAATGGAGAACAAGAGGAGTAAGGTATGAGTAACAGTTGGTGGTTTTGCGTAGGTCTGCGCATGTTTGCTTCACTCTGACTGTTATAGGCCTCATTCCTACGAGCAGATGGTTGATCAATAGAAACTCGCTCCTTGAACATATGAAATGCACTAGCCTACATGTAGAGAAGGTGAGCAGGTGCCTCTGCACTGAAGAGAAGAAGTTCAGTTTTGCTTAGTGCAACACTGTATACACCATGCAAGTTGTGTGAAGGGTGCGTGTTCTTCTATTCTTCATTCTAATAGGCTAGGCAGTTAAACATAGGTGAAGATGTCCTGCCATACACTGTTTAATAATAGACACGAGTATAATAGCTGTGGAAATATATCATCTCATCATTTGATTTGGCCAAAATGATTGTATCTTAATAAGAGATGTATTACTCAATTTGAGCACTCTGGTCTTTCATATTCTTCTTGTCAAGGGAGCAATGTAAATATATATATATATATATTGTGTGTGTGTGTGTGTGTGTGTGTGTGTGTGTGTGTGTGTGTGTGTGTGTATTCCTGCATCCAGGGTATCTTGGAGCGTTTGAATGCTGGGGAGGTGGTTGTAGGAGATGGAGGTTACGTGCTGCAGCTAGAACGACGTGGCTACGTGAAGGCAGGACACTGGACCCCTGAGGCTGCAGTTGAGCACCCTGAAGCTGGTACTTTTGACATACTCAGTCATTTATTAAGATATCAGCATGTAACATATCAGGTTTGCTTTTCTTTTTATCTGTCTTTATTTGCCTGTGCTTTCTCAATAAGTTGAGCCTTGTCTCTTCCTCGCTCTGTCAGTGCGGCAGCTACACAGGGAGTTTCTGAGAGCAGGAGCCAATGTGCTTCAGACGTTCACTTTCTACTGCAGTGAGGATAAGCTGGAGATCAGTGGCAATGTCACCAACGTAACTGTACGTAAAAAAAAAAAAAAGCAAATAAATTACAAAATCTTTAAACATCATTATTTTGCTTACATTAGACGACTCCAGTCTGTTCTCTTCTGACTCAGGGAGCTCAGATCAATGAGGCAGCCTGTGACCTGGCCAGGGAGGTAGCCAATGAGGGTGATGCACTAGTCGCTGGGTGCGTGTCTAAGACTCCCTGTTATGTGAAGAGTTGCAGTGAGGCTGAGGTCAAGGCCATCTTTAAGAAACAAATGGATGACTTCCTTAAAAAGGACATTGATTTCTTTATAGTAGAGGTACGAGCAGATCTTAATTCTACTGCTTCTTGTTCCGAGTGAAGTTTTAATGATCCCATGCACATTTCTCCTGCAGTTTGTCGATCATGTGGAAGAGGCAGTGTGGGCAGTGGAGGTGATGAAGAGCAGCGGTAAACCAGTGGGTGCAACACTGTGCATCTCCCCTCAAGGAGACATGCAGGGAGTCCCACCTGGAGAGTGCGCTGTCAGGCTGGTCAGAGCCGGTACACTGACCTTCTGTGTTGTGGTACTTCTGGTCAGCGAGTCTGACGTTGTGTTTTAGCTGTACAATCTGAATGTGTTTCATGTGCATGCATTTGTGTGCAGGAGCTGACATTGTTGGAGTGAACTGCCACCTGGACCCTCTGACGTGCGTTCATACAGTGAAGCTGATGAAAGAGGGATTAGAGAAAGCTGGTCTCAGAGCCCATCTCATGATCCAGCCACTGGGCTTTCACACACCTGAGTGCAACTTCGGTGGATACACCAGCCTTCCTGAGTACCCCTTCGGTTAGCATTTCTATATTTGGTTTGCGTAGAATAAAGAAAATATTGTTTTATATTCAATTACTTCATCATCATTATTATTACAGTACATTCATGTAATCTACTGTATGTTTTTGCACTAAAGAGTAAACTAAAAATATGGTTTGAAGAGATCCCAATATTAAATATTTACATAAAACTAAGTTGACCAAACAAGGTCTGGAATTAAATGGTCCTGCAATAAACCAACCTTGCTGTGTGTGACTGTTAGTTTGCAATTTGCATTTGTTATTGTATTTTTGTATATTTCATTTAAGTATGAAAGCAGTATTTGAGTGTAGAGCTACCTTAAACTCCCCATATACAGTTTGATGAGAGCATCGTTGCAACAAAATGTCCTCACTTGAATATGTCGTTCTCCTCTCAGCACTGGAGACCAGAGTAATCACCCGCTGGGACGTTCATAAATACGCCAGAGAGGCCTACAATGCAGGAATTCGGTACATCGGTGGCTGCTGTGGATTCGAGCCCTACCATATTAGAGCTATAGCAGAAGAGCTGTCTGCAGAGGGAGGATCACTCCCTCCAGCTTCAGAGAAGCACGGACTCTGGGGAGCTGGATTGGAGATGCACACTAAACCCTGGGTCAGAGCCAGGTAAGACTGAGCAGGAACACGGCTTCTGCATGTGCACATTAGTCAGCTCTTTTTAAATTTTGCTGCAGCATCTGCATTTAACGTGGACAAAAGACTGAAACATTGGCACATATTGTACATAATGTATGGTGGCGTAGTGACAGTTATCATAGTAAAGGATGTAAAAAGTATCGGTGTGTGTTTCTGCTCTGCACGGGTGTTGGATTCTCACCAACTAAACTCAAAATTTGTCTTAGGGCTCATCGGGACTACTGGGAAAACCTCTTGCCTGCTACTGGACGTCCCAAATGCCCCTCCATGGCCACACCAGCCGACAACTACGAGAAGCAGCTGAAGTCCAACATACCATCATAATTGTTTGTATCTACTATTCAGTAGATACTTGATGTCGTAGTTTTTATATTTTTTCTAACAGGTTATCCACCTTTTTTGATATCAAGAATTAGAAACAAATTAGGTATTTCATCAAACATTTTGTCCTTTCCCAAAGCTCAACATTCCCTCCCAGTGTCCTTACTTTATTATTTGGCGTTGTGTTGAGGTGGCTTAGAAACTTTACACCATATGCTCAATGTAACTTGGGTGTAATCGTTTGTGAACTAACTGCCTCTCTTTCTTTTTTCTGTTCCGTAACTATGCACTATTCATAAACCTACTAACAGAGTGTACATAGAAACGCCGCTGGTCTTATCACTAGTTAACGCAATACTGTTTCTCATTGTATGAGGGTATTTTGATGTAAATGTGTTAGCCAAATGTCGTACATAAATGCACCTCAGAAAAACAAAGATCTCCTTCTCTAACTCTGCTGCATACACATGGCTCAATGTTTCTTGTGTTACCTTTATCAGTGTGTTACTTATTACCCTGAGTCAGGGTAAAAGTTTGGAGAAAGGTAATAAAAGTTCATATATGAGGTAATCCATACTTTCTTCTTCTGTGGACATCTGCACACTTTGCATTATTGTCTTTTTTGTGGCCATTTTGTTGCTGTCAGTTGATGTCAAGATTGAAAACCTGGGTCAAAAACCTCAGGTCCCACCGAGATTTGAACTCGGATCGCTGGATTCAGAGTCCAGAGTGCTAACCATTACACCATGGAACCATATGTGTACTTGTGCCCCCGGCTGGTAATCGTGAGAATTGGACTGGGGACCAAAACTTGCCCTGTATATTTCACAAAGTTTAGTTGACTTAAAAGCTTGATGCAAGGCTTTTTTACTATTTAGAAGTATAAGCACCACCATTTCATGCCAAACTTTTCATTACTAAATGTTAAACTGCAACGGGAAACAGAAAAAGATCACTGATTTTCTTTTTAATAGATATGGCTTCCTGTCTTTGGTGACAACTCATAATTTAATTTGATTAAAATTAGACATAAGGCACAGTCGCACTGACCTGTTGTGCCTCACAATAAACATCGCTGAACGCAAAAATACTTAAATAAATGCATGTCGAAATTTAAAATGGATCAATCAATTTGACTTATCGGACTATCGGACTTCATCGAATTTGGACTAATTTATGTCCCTCTATAAATATTCATTTATTTTCTGCTTGTGCTTATTTATTAAATTAATTCCTTAATACCGACTAACAGTGTAATGTATGTGTATATAACAGACATACTGTATGTCTGCAGTACTTGTACTCGAGCTTTCATACGCTGTTTGTGCTTACCTGCTGTGAATAGGGAGAGGGGCAAATGATGTTAAATGGGTCCATTGATATGATAAGTCTCTTTCAAAACCGTGAGGTTCCACCGAGATTTGAACTCGGATCGCTGGATTCAAAGTCCAGAGTGCTAACCATTACACCATGGAACCATGTACTGCTACGCAACATAATTTTCAAAGTACTTTCAATAAGGCCTATGTCTTTAATTCTTTATATTCAAGATTCTTGATTTCAAAACTAAGTATAAAGGGATTTCCAGTAGACATAATCTCCTAACTTTTCCCTGTTTCACAATGTTTTTTTTCCCCACTGCAGTTGTCGCTGTAAATCCAGCCATGTGGGATTTAAAAGTACTATTAACACAACTTAGTTTGTCAAAGATGAAGATCAAGGAATCTTAGGCACTTTTTACATTTTTGTTGGCTCCAATTCAAAGAGTGAATGTACTTCAGGGTTTGGGTTTGGCTGTGGTAGTTGCTGTTGTTGCCTCTTGGTTCCTCACAATTACTGCAGCCTATGACTGTCCCAAAACCCTTCTCTCTGCTACTCATTATTCTTAGCCAGATAATCATAAGTTAGTATTTCATAAGCTGTTGATTGAGAAAATTTAAATGAATTGCCATAGGTCATGATCAGGGCCCATCAAAGCAGAGGTAAACTCTGTTAGAACCCATTGTGCAGACTGGCTTTTTCTGTCTCAAGGCTGTGACCATTAAAGGGGAACGCTTTCCATTCCTGTCCTCTGAAACAGTCCAGCCAATGTGTGTAAACAATGACAAGTCAGCAGCTCTCTCCCACACTTCAACCACACTTCAACTTGATGCATCTTTCTGTGGCTACTTCGCAGTTTATATGACACATTTTGTACAGCATTTTTCTAACGTTTATTTCAGTATTACTTGAATGGCTTTCAGAAATAATTGTTTTTGGACTATATCTTATCAATAATGCCTTAATTTTGTAAATGTAACTGTTGAAATATTTTACTGGTAATTATTTATCTGTTAACTCATTTATAAATTTGAGAGAAGAGCTACATTGTTATTTTGTTTGTTTGTTGTTGTTTTTTTGCATGCATACTGTCCATTATGCTGCAGCTACAGACTCTGCAAAACACCCCACAATGCTCAAGCCAAAACGTCAGCACGTCCTTACGTGCCCTGCTAAAATTGAGATTCTAATGTTGCCTTCACGTGCTCTCAGGAAAGAGCTACTTCAATCTGCTCTCCGCCCTGTCTCGCAAGAATACAGCTTGATTGCAGCTTACTTTCATTAACACACCCTAATAACAACACTACGCCATGTCACATATTTAACGGATTATGGCAGCAGAAAAATAAGGGCAAATTACTGGTGATAGTCAAAAGGAGAGTTATCCTCAGAGATAAATGAGAATTTTATGTTATGATAAATGATCCACAGAGTTTGGTTCATTCGTGTCTTGTGTCATCAAACGGCGATTGATGGGAATTCCGATATTTCTCACAGCACGTGAAAGCAGCACCATTATTTTGCGTATGAGGTCTTGTTGGGCAAACGATGAAGAAAACATGATAACGTTACGAGTTTGGAGACGATGTTAACCTTCCCGAGGACTGGACAAAGCCCGTTGTCACGCTTCTCCGTGGCCTCGGTTTGTTGAGTCTAAACGATGTGCGCCGCTGCTTCAGGATCCCGTCGTTACTTTGTGATGAGAAGGGAGGACCGGAGCCGAGAGATCGAGCATAACGGGGCACAGCTGACAGGCGGATCGAGCGTCGGACCTGGTAAACACACTGTCGCATGTTGTGTGTCAGAGTCGGAGACAAGCTAATGACGAGGATAGCGCTGTCAGGAGGGCTGGGATAGGCAAGTCCGACACCCGAGTTGAAAGCAGGTGGGCCAGAGATGGGAAACGACACCGCACTGCTCCAAATTCATCCGCTTGAGCGAAGGAGGATAGCCCTTCAGCCAAAATATCCCCGCAGAGAGGACGGTGTTTGGTAAACGCTGTTATAACGCACACTGTTTTTACCACGCTGCATCCGACTTTCAAACAGTGCAGGCGCAGGGTTTGTTGTTATTTCTGTTTCATCACTTTGCAGAGATGTCCTTCACAATGGAGGATAATTTGGAGTCGGGGTGGGTGGCTGTTCGTCCGAATGCGTTTGAGGAGAAGGAGAAGCATAAATTCGTCTTTATCGTCGCCTGGAATGAAGTGGAAGGTAAATTTGCCATAACGTGTCATAACAGGACGGTGCAGAGGAGAAGCTTTGGTAGGGACCCTCTGGCGGAGGGGACTAGCCAGGATGGGGACAAAACAAAATGGCCCGAAAGTCCGGTCAGGGATAAAGTATCTAGGAGTCCTGGCAAAGGAGCCAGGGAGGCTGGGATGAAAGGCAGCAGCAGCAGAAGCAGCCCTAAAACCAAGTCCGTGATAACAACCAGACCAAGTCCTGTCAAAATTCAAACTGCGATTAAATCTGCAGCACCTCCCGTCAGTCCTGATACCGAGGTGTTGAAATCACTAAGAGAGGAGCAACTGTCCCCCGCAGTGGACAGCTTGGACCTGGAGGAGCTGGACAGTCTGAGCAGGGAGGATTGCAGCTGGGCCGGGCTCTTTTCCTTCCAAGACCTCCGGGCAATCCACCAGCAGCTGTGCTCGGTTAACTCGGACCTGGAGCCCTGCCTGCCGGTGTTTCCGGAGGAACCAGCCGGGATGTGGACGGTGCTGTTCGGGCCGGCGGAGGTATCCGAGGCCGAGATGGATGAGCTGTGCTACAGTTTACAGGTGTACCTGGGCCATGCGCTCGATACGTGTGGGTGGAAGATCCTCTCGCAAGTTCTGTTCACGGAAAACGACGACCCAGACGAGTACTACGAGAGCCTGAGCGAGCTGAGGCAGTCCGGGTACGAGGAGGCGCTCAACCGTGCAACAAAACATCTGCAAGAGGTGAGAGTTTCTGTGATCCTCCCACAGCATCTCCATGATTATATCAGCTTCCTGTTGACAATGTCTGTGCATAGTCCCTCTCTGCAACTCGCATTCACACAGTCGCACATCTGGACAACTAGGAGCATCCCAGTACAAACGCTGTCTTTCTACTGTACTGTGCACACCAGCTGGGTTACTGCTGAAACTCTGTTGTGACAAAATGGTAATCGGGAAATGTGATGCACTAGCCATTAATCTGAGGTAGATAGGTATTTAATAAATATAATTAAATTGATTGCATACAAAACAAGTACAAAACAATGTAGTATACAGACACAAAATGACTGTGACACTGTGTTGATCTTCATAAGTCACACAAACACTATAGAAGTATATTTTAAGCATCACTTTGATGATGTATTTCCTTATGTGACAAAGTTTAATAATCCAGACCATCCAGTCCATGCATGTCACATTATCAATGAAAAACTGAGAGGCTGTCCGGTCTTTAACTTCTTTGCGTTGGTATATGAGAAGTAAAATAAGCATGTGGACTTTTAAGCCAGCTAAGAGAAGCTAACTTGGTTTGCATCATCAAGAACTGAGGTCTGTAAGAACAAAGAGGTCACCACAAGTTTCAGTATCAAACAAGGTATACATCAATCTAACCTCTATAAGCACAGACAAGACAACAATAAATGGATATGTCCTTAAACACTCACACACAGTGATCATATAACTGACAGGGATACTGACAAGTGTTTGCATTTTTCTTTCACTCCTATGAAAGAAGTAATCTGAAAATCAGTGCAGGGACTAGTCCCACTGTCCAGCTATTAACAGAGGAAGAATTTCAACTGTATACTGTAAGTAGCTGTTTGCTGCTTAGACAACTGAGAGAGTCAGTTGCTCCCCCACACACACACAAACACACATTCACACAAACACACACACACACACACACGCACGCACACACACACACACACACACACACTCACACACACACACACATACACACACACATTCACATTCACACAAACATAGTTCAAGTGCTTCTTTCCTTTTGGAATTAACCCCTCAATGTAATGTGCAAAGTCATCATCCGTGAGCACTGGTTACTACCAGGACTTGTTGGACAATGTTATATATCAGATTTCTCTCTCTTTTGTGCGTATTATACTGTAGATCATTCTGTCTTTCTGTTGATGGGTTTTTGGCACATATCAAGAAAGAACTGTTTGATGGTTACAGATAAATTTGTTATATTTTCCTCTGAAAACTACATAAAACAGGCGAACATTCAAATTCTACACATCCTTTTGTTTTAGTCTGCACTGGAGGAGAGTGAAAAAGCATTAGTCTTGATGGCTAAAAACAAGAATTAAGAATTTAGAAAACTCATTACTGTGTCAAATAACATACAATAATATAGAACCCACCTGGTTTGTTCAGACGGGGATTATCATGCAGAACATTTATGGTTTGAGGGGGAAAAAAACTGTGTCACTGATTTTTTCACGTTCTTAATACGACAAATGTGCGGTTGTAAATATGAGTTCTGCATGCATTTTATGAAAAATTATGAAAGATGTCTTTGACATTTCTGTAAAACACTTCTGTAATATAATCAAACACTTCCATCAATGTTTTAATGATAAGTTCTGCTACATATCTTTGACTTGACACGGTGAGGACATGATCCAGACACCATACACGCTGCAGGCCTGCTCTTCTTACACACCAGCAGCAGCAGATAGTGGTTGATTAACTACTTCAATATAAACAGACACTATATTGATACTCACTGACTCTCACATTGTCTCACCTATCAATGGCGCTAGAGTAATGAATCCTTGACTCGTGGAGCTAGACAGTGCAAGAAGTCCTTTGAGAGAGCAGGGGAGAGAGAGCAATAATGGAAGTGGAGTTTTCCATTATTAGCATCACAGCATTACTCCTGGCAATTATAGTGGCTGGTAGATTGAGTACTACCTGTGTTTATGGAATAAATATCTTTCTTATACATGTAGTATTGTACTTTCTGTCAAGCTTAAGGACAGCAAGGTCACAGTATAACAAATGGGGTATCTGCCTCTGTGTTTACTCTCATTGCAAAAGTAAAAGAGTTAAGAGACTACATCCATTTACACTGATGTGTTTACATGGTTTTCTGGCCAAGGCGTTTCCTCTCAGCTCTGCTTTTGGCAGAGAAAAGAGGCCGTGAGCAGAATAGACGAATCACCCACATGTCATTCCACATAGTCAGTCCCACACCCACTCCCATTCGTGTAGTTTAGAAACACACTCACATTCACTCAGAATAAAAAGATAAAGACAGAAAACCAGCCACAGGAAGTGTTGCCTTACTATCCTTCCTGAGCAAAGAAAAAAAAGAAAAAAAACAACAAACACTTTGCTTGAAGGTGTCTGAAGGAGAAAGTACTGATCGTATTCAGCTCTTTATCACAGCCCGAGCTCTTCTGTCTGCAGTGACAGTGCTATGTAATTCATTTAAACACCGTTGCAGTTTGTTGTGTCGTAGGATCTCACACACACGCGCGCGCACACACACACACACGCACACACACACACACACACACACACACACACACACACACACACACACACACACACACACGCGCACACACACACACACACGCACACACACACACACACACATCGATCCTCCTGCTGCATTTGAGGGCTGAGTTAATGGCTATTTCTGTGCTTGCTGGTAGCCTACAAGATTGTTCAGTCTGTGTGTGTATTGATCATATTCCCAGCAGCAGAAAGGACTCTGCTCATTGAATGCACTCAGATACACTCCTATTATTTACTGTTACACAAAGCATCCCTTGTAGTCTGACAGCGAGGTGCAAGTTTCCAGTTAGTGGTGAGTGACATTAAAAGATGTATTTAAGTTTGATCTTCTGGCTTTTGTTGACTTGGGTTATCTGACACAGCTGTAACAGTCTTATACAGACAGTTGGAAACATGTTACATTACATCTGCAGGCTACGAACAGTATGTTTGCCCTCTGCTTAACAAGGTCTTAAAGAGATTTTAAAAGTGGCTATCAGATGTTTTGATATTCTGAAAGCTGTTTGTATGTTGACTATAATAAGTAATAACTAACTCCTTGTGTGTGTTTATGTGCTGCAGCTGCTGGAGAAGCACAAGAGCATGGACAGTATGGTGGAGCTGTTGGAGCTGTATGAGGAAGAAGACCAAGCCTATGGAGGTCTGCTGGATGCCTCGACACAGCTTTACCAGTATCTGCTGCAGCCTTTCAGAGACATGAGGGAACTAGCAATGCTACGCAGACAGCAGATCAAGGTAACAATCCGCAGCTGTTAAAGTGCACTGTACACGAATGAACACACATTAACAGAGACTGCTCTACATGTGACACATTTTCGGGGGGATTTATCCCATAACAACGGCATTCATAAGTCTTGAACAGAGTGTGGGCCAAAATCCTGTAGTGACCCAGTATTTGCCCAAGACCTCTTTGGCATTTCACCAAGCCTCTTCAACTTTCTGATGCTCCACTGATAAGTACACAGTATACACACAAACACAGATGACCAGTTGATTTCAGAAGTGAAGAAATGGTGAGTGGTATTGATGAAATCCAACTAGGAGAAAATGGCAAAGACAAAAATGACAAAAATAGTTTTTTGTGTTGTTTCTGGTAGTTTGGCCCTGTTGTCATCGACCATGTGAATCATATGGGACTCAAGTGGTTATTCAGATGCTCTGCTTAACTGGTATCCGTGGGAACCTTTGCTATTGTGCAGATGGACTTAGATTCAGTGATGCATTTTTGTATCTCTATACAGGCACCGGTCAAATGGGTGCTCACAGGAAAATCACATGCCCCTAAAAATTGTGTATATTTATGCAGAGTTTTTTTTTAGCTTTTTTAGCTTTTTATGCAAAATGTATTCTCCTCTATGTTTTTATAAGATGCTCATGGTTAGTAAAGCAGTGGGAGGGGGTGAGATGTATCTAATTGCAAAGAGCAGACGGAGGCTGGTGAATGGATAAATGGTGGAAAGGCTTTGTTCAATCGTTGCAGTGCTGATGGCACATTTATATTTAGCTCCGTGACTCACAAACACAGCACATCAGTAATAAAAAAAAGCTTCAGTATCACATTACCACGTAACATCCGTTAACAAAGAACACCTATAGCCTAGCTTTTTCTAGCCTTCGATATGAACACCTTCCTGTTAGTTTTATCCTGTTCCGCAGTATCTGAAACACTTCCTGGGGGGGGGGGGGTTGAGTGACATGCTGTGAGCAAGACTGGAGCCCCATGGATCTCCAATTTCCTGAAGTCTCACAGAGACATGAATAAGTCATGCTGTCTGTAGTCCTATAGGTTTACTGCAGATACAGGTTGATGCTGACGCACTGGGATCAGCAGGCATGCAGCAGAAATGGAAAGATGGACAGTGAAATTAAAGAGCTCTTCAGTTAAGGTGTGGCTTAATAAATGTTCTCAACTTTACTTCCTCTGGGGAGGTGTGAACCTCCAGCGTCAGCTAAAGAAAGTAATGTAAGCAGGGTGTAATGTGTTTAACCTAGCTGAGTAAGATTTTTGTACAAAAAAAACCTCTCATTTGATTCTAGTGCATTTTCACACGTTGGCATATTTTAGTGGCTTTCTATGAATTATGGAAATAAGGGCCAATGAGGCCGATCAAATCAAGTCATTTTCAGTATAATTTATGAAAAAAAGCGGCATTTCCGTCACTTCCGTCACTTCTTATAATCACTATAATCAGATTTATAAAAGCAATAAAAAATTGATTTTAATATATGACAAAATTATCTTGAATTTCATGTAAGTAATCGAAAAAAAAATATTGTTAGGCTGAGATAACTGATAGGACGTAGTGATAAGATATGTACAGTTTTGTATTACTGCCTATTTCTGAACTAATTTACTGAATAGATGTTACACTATGTCCTTTATTTTTACACTGAGTAGTAATTAGATAGCATAGTCCTGACTCACTTTTCAGTGCAGAGGGCTGCAGAAAGAAAACCTGCATTCTGTACATGTCACTCTTTTTTTGTACAAACCAGGAAACTATTACCAGCTTTTACCCACTTCATTTGTAAATGGTCAAAGTTGATTAGTATTTCACTCCTCGGTTGTTTTTGTCAGAGCGGACTCTCTTCCTTCCTGTCTCTCTGCTGTTGCACTCTTGGGTTCATAATCTCTGAGAAACCTTGCCAGAAAGGAGGGCTGCAAAATCTGCAGGTCCCACCGAGATTTGAACTCGGATCGCTGGATTCAGAGTCCAGACTGCTAACCATTACACCATGGAACCTTCTACTTGTGTGGGGAGGTGGGGAGCGGGCGGGCCGGTAAACCTGTTCTTCTGGGTCTATTTAAAGTCTACAGCGTCTGTAGCTCGTCTATTTCCTTTCCTTGAATAAACTTCTTCAGCTGCACATTGGAAATTGATTCAAATTGATAATTTTAGACATTCTATCAGCTGCCATATGTGTGAACGTGTTAAGAGCCTATCAGTAAACATTTTTACATTTAGGCAGTTTGTCCTCAATATGCAGACAAGAATAACAAGGAGGAGCAGAGTGTATAGTTGCACTCTCCATGTAATATTTATACACAATGCATGTTGATTTCTCATTTTGTCCATCAGTTAACAAAAAGATATGATTTGACGATTTGTGGGTTTCATGGTTTGACTGACAGGAAACTAGCAGCAGCCCTAGTGAGAGAGTGTGTGGCCTTAATTTGAGGAGTGTCAGTATATAGTATGTCAAAATATTTTTGCTGTTGTGGAAATTTTTTTGCAAGTTATGACAAGTTAGTTTCTGAAATTGTGCTGAGATTTGAATTTAGATTGCTGATGTCAAAGTCCAGAGTTGTAACCATTACACCACAGATCCTAATAACTTAATAGTTCAGCGGTTGTTCACATATTTGGAGCTACTAATTGTTCTGTCCATTGCACTGTGTGTTTATGCTGTGTAACGTGTTTGTTGTAGGTGTCAAATGACAAATTAAGAACATCATTGAATCCCAGAATTTGTAATTGAGTTAGCATGTTGATAAAGAGTAGCATCAGTCTGAGTTTGAGTAAAATATCTCCGTATCATATCCATCCTGTAATCTTTTGCATTCACAAGGCACAAGAAGACTGTACAGTAAACATAGATAGCTCTTTCTTATATGAGTTTTAAATGAAAAACAATGAGATGGTAAGTTTTCATGTAAAAGACTGATACGCACAGAATTACATTAACACAAATCACTGGATGTAAATTCAACTGTTCTAAACTTAAACAATGTATAAGGAATGCCAAAAAAAACCCTGATAATCAAAGGAATGAGCTCTGGTTCACTGACATCAGGAAATTGCAGAGGTAAATGATACTGGTGCACTGCTGGGTTGTGCAGTGTGAGCTGAAGTGCTGAGAGGTTACTTGGGGTCACACAGCTCTGTAGCTCTGTAACCCTTGCCGCTCACTTTCCTTCTTGTGTGCTGCACAGACATCTTTTGTTTTCCTCTTGGACATTTGATAGTTCATTTTCCAAATTTTCATATTTAATTAAATTTTTTTTAATCAGCCTTGCTCCATGTTGAACAGTAACAAGTAACTGCCAAAGACTTGATTTGTCTGCATATGGTTATTAGACATAGTGATGTCATATTCCCATTGTGGTCCATAACTCTCTTCACATGGTTCTACAATGCAGTAATTAAAAGATTAAGTATGTTAAGCTGATATTTTACAGGCTTTAATTGGTTGTTTAAGCGTTTTTAACTGTTTAAATCATTCATTTACATAAGAATAATAAATCTACAGTGTTACATGTAGACAGTGATGACACTTTTGTAAGTTATGGGAAAATAGATTTGTTGTTCACTTTGTCACACTGACAGTAATATTTGCAGAAGATCTGGTTCTGCAGAATATGAAAACATTGTTTGCACAGGTGTATGAATGTGTGTTTGAGTGCTTCCATGTGTGGGGGTGTAGCTCCCTCTCCAGGCCTACTGTCTGTGGTGATACCATTGTGATACAGTGCAGATCTCTAACTTATCTTGCTCTACCTTAAAAGTCATGCAGTCTTTCTCTACAATACACGTGAGAGGAGATTCATTGTCATGTCTACCTCCACCTAAGTATTATTAAGGGAAAAATTTCTATCACAGTGTTTTTTCTCCCCTTTTTTTGATAAGGCCATTCACTCTTGCCACTAAGTGGCAGTAATGTGTCACACATTTGGGGTTCCTGCGGCTCTGAATCACAAATGAGAACAAAACAGTGTTATCTTTTTGATGTGGACTTTAATGAATGTGCCTATAACTTCCTGGTTTTAGTAAGACTGCATTGTCTGCTGCCATGCTTTATCTTTTGAATCCCCTCATATGAAACTATTTGAATCCCATGTTCTCCAGCTCCATTTTTAGTATCAGTGAACCATATACTGAATTCAAGGCCATACATATTTTAAGTGGTATTTTATAAAATGTATGAAAAATGCATTCAGACTTTATACTTTGCAGGATAAATATTTTGTCTCATCATACTCCCTCACTGAGGACTGTCATTGGTCTTTATCTTGCTAACAAAAATATGTTAATCCTCCCTCAACAGATTTCCATGGAGAATGACTACTTGGGCCCAAGGCGGATCGAAGGTCTAAAAAAGGAGGACTCTGACTGGCAGAAGAAAGCTCAGGAGGCGGTCCTCAACATCCAAGAGTTTACTGTAAAATACTTTGAGATCACTGCCAGAGCCCAGAAAGGTACAATAGGCCGTCAGTGTCACTGCCAATGTCAAGTCAATAAAGCAGCAGAGGAATGACTTTGAATAATTACACACACACACACACACATAGTGGTAGCATTGGCCTGCTATTGACCTGTGTGTGGTTTGGAACGCCAGGGGGTAATGTGATTTAGTATTAATGAGGCAGTGTAGACAGCCGCGCTTTGACAGGGACAGGAGGAAACAAGGACAACCTATTGATCAAACAGCTTTGCCAGCACATTCTCTCTGAGCAGGGTTACTCCATAATGTGCCCTTGCTTATCCCAGTTCTTCTCCAACACTGATTTGTCCATTTGTTATCTGACACTTATTAGATCAAAAATCACATAAATGAGTGGCTTCAAGTGCAGACCAGAGAGAAGGAAGTTGTAATGTGCAAATGTGGCCAACAGATGTCTCTCTCTACATTGTGGTAATAGACCTTTACTCCTGTGAGACTTCAGTCATCACATTAAATGTAACACTCACTGTACCAGAGGGGAAAGTAGTTTGTGTTCGTGACTCACTCGCACGTGAGAATATGTCACATTTAACATTCTGTGTGTGGTGTGTGTGTGTGTGTGTGTTTGTGCGTGTGTGCTTGTGTGTGTGTGTAGGGGTGTATGAGCGTATGAAGGTGGACCAGCGTAAGTTTGGTAAATCTTCATGGACAGCAGCGGTGGAGCGCATGGAGAGACTGCGCTACTCTGTTGCCAAGGAAACCCTACAGCTCCAGAGAGCCAGGGAGATCTGTCTGGAGCAGAGGAAACACACACTTCGGGATGAGGTGCGGTAGTTACACTCAACAGCATACAAAACACATATGAACAGAAAGTAAACACACTCACAGACAGTTGTCCTATGTCCCGTCCTCTCAGATGCAGAGTCTGTGCAGCAGTGCCGATGCAATTGCCCTGTTAGACCACATGGAGACACAGTACTATGAGCTCCAGCTCCAACTGTATGACATCCAGGCAGATATATTACAGTGTGAAGAGCTGCTGCTCACCGCTCAACTGGACAGCGTTCGCAGACAGATGACAGGTATGGCCTTACTTTGTCTGAATTTACTATTCAGTGATTAATGATAGTGTCTGTCAAACGCATGAAAAGTCTGTATGTGCACATGTGCTTTCAGAGCGTCAGGATGAAGTGGTGTACTATGACACCTTTGAAAGCACAGATGATATTACAGAGGATGATACTGCAGAGAGGGAAGAGCTGCGCAGACTTCAGGTCAGCGCTCGACAGCTGGAGGCAAGGAGGGGGCGCATCACTGCCAAGCGCTCCTATCTGAGGAACAAGAGGGTGTGTATCCTTTTCTCACACTCACACTTTTTTTTCATGAAGTGTATCTTGGTTTCTACATTATGTTAGTGCACACTATACAATGTGTGCACTTTGCTTGATTGTGCTTCATATCCTTGTAACTGTGTCCTGCTATGCCAGAAACACATTTTATCAAGAAACAGCTAAAAATTTGCACTTTTATTTTAAATGTGCTCAAATGGGCTACACCTCCTCCTGATTTGCTGGTGTTCAGAATCATAGGAGGATTTAATTATGATGAATGATATTACTCATGTTATGCACTGCAACTATACTTGACAATATTGGATTAAGATGTGAGATTACACAAACAGATGTGTGAATATGTTATCACCTAGTAAGATGTAATGAGTAAAATGTAAAAACCTGCAGCAACCGATGACCTGTTATCTCACACATCCACTAACAAGATTATTAAGGCACATGACAGTAAATTGCTCCAAAGTGATATTTATTCAAATATAGTATAAGACACTGACCTACAGGGTTTTGCTGCAGCAGTTGTTGTTCATGTTGGCAGTGTGCATGATGTAGTGTGGATCATTGTGTTAATATGTTCTCCACCTGTCATCCTGCAGGAGATCTGTGTATCCAACCACACTCAGAAACAGCAGAAACGTCAATCCCTCCACAAAGACTCTATATCCCACCAGGTGTTACAGGTAGGTTTTTTTTTTTGCTAGTTTCTTCTTAATAGAATGTAATTTTATATCTGTAAAACATTATCAATAACTCTCTCCTCTTCTAAACTGGTAAAAATTTTCCAGCTGATAAATGAAGAAGAGGAAGATGAGGAGAGGAAGAACAGCAGAGTAAGTCAGGAGAGACAGAGAACTCTGGACAGACTCCGCACTTTCAAACAGGTATGTGTTGTCTTATTATCTGCAAGCATCACAAAATGTTTCATTTTCTTTCTCACTCGTCAGCCCCTGTTCGTCTCTGTCTTTCTCTAGCGGTACCCAGGTCAGGTGATTCTGAAGTCCACTCGACTGCGCGTGGCCCACACCAGAAGAAGAGACCGAGGAAGGAGCATGGAAATGAGTAGCGTGAGTGAGCGGGAGGAGAGTGTGGACTCTGTTTGCATCCACCACCAGCCACTGTGTCTCAGTACCAGTGTGCAGACTGACCCCAGCCCCAGCTCCACGCTCACCACTCAGCCCGTCACAGCTCTCACAGCATCCCTTCCTCCGCTGCCTGTGCCCATTCCTGCCGACTCCTCCTGCTCCCCCTGCTCCCTGTCCTCACTCCTTTCATCCCCTATCTCCCCTCCTCCTCCACCACCTCCTCCACCTCCCCCTCCCACGAGGGAGGAGCTGTCGCCTTCCGGCAGCCCGGGCCGGCACGGGCAGAAGGCCGAGGGGAAGAGCGCGGCAGAAGAGCTCTCCCTCTCCCCACTCGGCCCATTCATCCCTCGCTTCTTTGATAGTAGCCAACTGTTGAGCGCCCGGAAAAAGTTGAGGAAGACACCGGAGTTTGACACCCACAGCAGAAGAGGTACTGGGACCGTGTAGTACCATAGACGTTTCTCAGGGCTCTGTTAGATTATCTAGTTACAGTAGCCAATCACAGTCTTTCTTCCTCTCCTCTCCCTGCATACAGTTAGCTCACCCATGGACGAGGTGCTGGCCTCCCTGAAGAGAGGCAGCTTCCACCTGAGGAAGGTCGACCAGCGGTCCCTACCTCCAGCCAAGGGTGACGACGATCCCAACAGCATCCTGGCTCAGATTCGCAAGGGGGTCAAACTGAGGCAGGTCCCCCATAAAGAGAGAAAAGACCAGGGAGAGCTCCCGGCCTCCACCGACCCACTGACTAGGAGCATTCATGAGGCGCTGCGCCGCATCAAGGAGGCCACACCAGATTCTGACTCGGATGACGACGGTCTGGCCAGCCATGACTGGGAAAGCTAGGGCTCAAGGCTCAGGCGCAACAAATAAAACACACACACACATAAACACACACACACACACACACACACACACACACACACAAATGCCTGCATCCTCTGGCACTGCACACAATGTACTGTACTGCAATATAGAGAGCTGCGCTGTACTGTAAACAGACACACACACACACACACACACACACACACACACACACACACACACAAATTCATGAAGCTACTCACTCACTCACACTCAAGTAAACACAGCCCAGTCACACATGTACCTAGTGACTATGCCAGGACCAACTCACCAAAAGCTCCAAAGGTCTATGGTCAACCTGTTCATTTGTTTTTCACACTACATTCACTACTGTGGAGGATATGATTTGTGTTTTTTTTATTTTTACTGTGTGTCACTGTGGTTTTATTCCTGTAATCAGACTGTAACAATCCTTATCTTGTTTGTTTTTTTATTTATGTTTATTTTTATCAGTTGTACTGTTGAAAAGCTCTGCACTGGCCCTCTGTGGCCGCATTAATATTCAGAAACAGCACAATACACATTGTACACCAACACACTGCACTGACAGCTATTTGTGAAACTGAAAACCTCATACGGAAAGTCGTGCTGAGAAATGTGTGATCTTTTCCAAAGCGTTAGAAAAATGAGAAACTGTAACTGCGACAAAAAAACGTGTGTGGTTGCTGATTTGGGGTCAAGAGGGAGACTGAAAAACAAATAGAAGATTACACTTTTGAACTGGGATCACTGGACCTGTCATCCAGATTGTAAACCGTCGCACACATCAAGCATCACCTGTCTTCTATTTTTTGCTCAACCGGTGTATTGTGACTGAGCCGCGCTGTGCTGAACAGCTGGTTTTGTCCTGTCACAAGTGGGTGTGGTGGTGTCAGACAGTGTGAAGATCACCGCTTGTTTAATCTGACTCTGCACAAATACTTCCAGTCTTTTAGTCCGTCACAACAGATTCATACCCCTCCCCCCACTTTTGTCCTCTTCCGGCCCTTCACCACCCCCAGCTCTCTCTCTCTCTGGATGAGGGAATATGTATCGACCCATCTGTTCCACCGCAGCATATGGCCAGGCTGGTGGGAGATATTCAGAGTCACTATAGGTTTATCATTTGGTGCCGCATCTAACAACATCTCTGATGCGAAGCTGCGGTCAACTACGGTAGGAAAGGGTAAGAGGAAGGGTCATAGGCAGAGCCGATGGACAGTTTTCTTAAGCGGAGTGGAGGTCATAGTTAGTGTCAGTAGTCTTTGTAAAGTGTGGGCAGACTTTGGTTGGTGATTCCCAAACTTTGTATGTGGGATAGTCACGGCTGAGCTGTGGAACCGGTCACGCTTGTTTGAATGATGGATGGCACGTGGGAGGTTAGATTCTCTCAGCGCCGCGGGGAGCCACTGTGGGCTGTGGAGCAGGGCGGTCGTGATTGATGCGGTTTCTCCTGCCATCTTGTTCACTTTCTCTCCTCTCCTCTGTTTGCACTTTTCCTCATTCCTTTTCTCTGCACTCAGTGGGCAGAACCACACAGTAGGAGGCCTGTTACTCACAGTTGCTGGAAGTGTTTTCAAACATGCTCCTGCACACATGGACTCACGCACTAAACTCACAGCCAACATGCACAGAAAACATTTTAGTGGTAAAGTGAGTCCACAACCCCTACTCGTAAGTCTTTTTTTTTTTCATTTTTTAGAAAAGGTTTCAGCACTTTCATGATAATAATTATACACATTCTGAATCGCTTTATCTGTACAGTTACAACATTTTTTTGTTATCACTGGTGAAACATTATATCTGAAGTTGTTGAGTAAGTTTTAAAGCACTGAACATGTGGAATTGGACCTAAAAAGGTGTGATGGAAGGACGGTATGAGGGGGACCAGTGAGATGCTTAGCAGCACAGGAATCCACACAAACACACGATCACATGAAGGAAAATTGATTGATAAACTAAGCTCTCAGTCTGAGCTTTGATGCAAAGATTTGTGCTTTTTCCTCTTGTGCTTGCGTTGAGAGCCATTCATAGATGAATCACGAGACAGACAGTGTAGAACAGAACGGGCGGGGAGGTATATGTCGCATTATACAGCTTGAAAATAGCTCAGTGCTAAAGAGGGTTTATTATTTTTCCTGGCAGAGCAAATCTGAGGCACTTTTACATGTCTTCTCTCACTGTCATCCCAACGTTCTTCCATGGTACCCTCATCATGTAGCATGAGACAGAGATCTAACCCTGACCTGACTCTTAACTTAAACCTAACCCACACCACGCCCAACTTGATGTCACTTGAACTGACTGGGGCAAAGTTTCCCAAAAGATGTAAAAGTTTATGTTGCTCCACCAAACAATGGCCGACAATGTGCTCAAAACTTTTGGGAAACTGGGCTCAGAAGGTGACACCTCTGCCATGAGCCGACTACCACCTGATTAACCTTAGAATCACGCTGTCATGTATTTTTACACTGACCTATAAATTACCTTGACACAGCTTGTTTGTCAGCTAACTGTAATTTTGCATTGCATTTCATTGCTTTGTTTGCCTTATGTTTTTTTTCCAAAGCATTTCCAGCCAAATTGTTTTGTGATGTGTTTGCTTTGAAACCTTTCCTATGTAGGCCTGTTATCCACACAGGCTGACTATATATGACCCTCCGTCTGAATAAGCAGTCACTTCAGAAGTGCAATATCAATATAGAGAAATACAATAAAAGGGATGAACCAACTTCATGGGTGATAATGAGTTCAGATTGATTGCCTAAAACAATGGACTTATTAAAGATTGCAGTTGTTTTTACACAGTAGTGTATTGACATACTGTTCCAAGAATACCCCTTTGCCTTTAGTCCTACCATGTCATTTATTCAGTTCTTTTTTTCTTTTTTTTTTTACAACCTTGCCCCTGCATTTGAATAAAACCTTGTGAAGCAAAATCTGAGGTTGTCTGTTTCACTGTTGAATAATTTAGTTAATACTGTGTTTTTAATAGATAAATGAAAGAAAGAAAGAAACAGAACAAAAGCGATTTGTACACATTGAATTCTGCGGTCACTGTATTTGAATATAAAACATAGCATTTCTTAGTTCACAGAGGTGTGTTCTCAGCCTTGTAGGGCTGTCTTTGTTTGAATTCAACAAAGGATTTTGCTGGGCTGAAGCACCAACAGGTGTGTCTCCTGATCATTTTTCACCAGCATTTGGTAAATGCTTTCACCTGCAAACACACAAGTCTCACCAATCTACGAACATCTTTAGCCTGAGGTACCTCTTTAATATCATGAGTTCAAAATTACTTTAAATAGTCAAAAATATTGCCAGTCTTCTCATACCTCTAAATACAATAATAATACCTACATTTAAATACCATAAGTTACAAAACAGGAGAATGAAAAGCTTCTTATCCACTACTGTACAAAGGCATTCATTAACAATAGCATTAATATTAAGGTATTCCATCTCTGTCATTTGACTGTCAAAGTTAAACCAGAAAGAAAAAGAAATGGGTAACAGTTCCCTTTACATGGGTCTTATTCCAGTGTATTAACCTGTGCAACTAACTACGATGTGAATGAATTATGCTGTGCTAGGACTTAATGCAAATCTCTTGAAATATAATGTTGAGTTACAACAGTGTAATAACACAGTGCAAACAGGGTGCTCAATTGAAAGGTAAAAGAAGCAGCATTTCATGTGAGCATATAGTGTTTTAGAAATTGAGTGATTTTAAAGGAAGAAATTTTAAGTTGCAGTTTGGGATTTCACCATCAGAGGAGGAGGAGCTGCTTCATAAGTGAATATTTTGGTACAGAACATTTAACACTATGTGTTTACATTGTGTTGTTACGCATTTTAAATACATATTGAAGAGGTTTTTCATTGTTTACCTACAGATTAGATACTCTATAATAACTATGCAGTACTTTTCCATGGGTTAATACACAACAATAAGCCACTGCAGGGTGTTACTGCATTTGAGTTATCCATCCATTCATTTACAATGTCATCATGAGTAGAAAGTTGTCCTATACAGTTCTATAATTATATCATCAGTATTATATCCTGTGTAAAAAAGAATAGAAACCGAGTAGAGTTCTGCATTCACCCGTGAGGAGTGAAAATCGGTGGCCTGTTTCACTGAGGGTGGAGATTTACGAACATGTAGATGACACTCTATAAGCCCTTCACGATGCACTACTTCGACTAGACAGGGCTGCCACACAGGTTCGCGGTCAACAGTAGTACACTTTCTGTCGGACATGGGGGATCAGCTGAGTTGTGTTTGACCTATCTGCATGAGTCCACTGAGAAGAGTACCTGATAGAGTTAGATAGAGGTGTCGTATAGAGCCTGTTCTGGTTATGCCCCCAGTGTGTGTGTGTGTGTGTGTGTGTGTGTGTGTGTGTGTGTGTGTAGGCCTTGATGTCCCAAACCAGGGGTCTTTCTCTCTTTCTGCACAAAACACACACACACGCACACACACACACACACACACACACACACACACACACACACACACACACACACATTATATACAAACACATGTCCGCGTATGTGTGCTTTAAAGGCACACATTATGTCAAAGGTCGGGCTTTGTTCAGAGACACACACCACACTGAGTTTGGCAGGAAGACAGGTCAGTTGTGTGAGACGGTGGAAGCAGTCTGGATACAGGAATTCTAATGTCAAATCTAACATGGGCACATGCCCTTTAAAATTTCTGTGTGGCATGACCGATGCCTGTGGAAGATTTAAATACTCATCTATCATGTAGGATTTTAAATAGGCTGTGGATACATAGCAGTCTTTCATTTTCACTTGAGAAGGAAACCGAACTCCATTTCCGAGCAGCCTTGTGTGTCCAGAGCAGCATTGATGTCACTACAGGCCAAAAGGTAAGACTGACTGGTTTGTTGAGAGCCGTCCTTAAAGTTCTCTGTTTCCAGTGACACTCCGCTGGCAGCCCGAGCTCAGACGCGGGCCTCTGTTCAGCACTTCTCTGTACAGTAAGTCACTTTGGATCAAAGCATCTGCTAGTTAGAGGACAATATTTTGGAGGGATTTGGCAGCTTTGGCGCAGTTCTCTGAGTCTTAACGGCAATTATTTCCACATGACTTTCAACATTCCCCTTGGGGGGGCAGTTTAGAGATGAAGAAAAGGGTGTGTATGTGTGTGTGTGTGTGTGTGTGTGTGTGAGACGTTGTGATGCTGCAATCTATGGTGCACCTTTCCCAGTCAAACAGCAGATGGCGCTGAGGCACAGTTCTCAAGTTAACTAAGTTTGGTGAGTGTGTGTGTGTGTGTGTGTGTGTGTGTGTGTGTGTGTGTGTGTGTGTGTATGTGTGTTGTGTGGGGGGGGTGGGGGTGGGAGCAGTAGCAGTGTGCTACAGCAGGCATCTCTATGACCCGGACAGATCAATTCAACCAAGGTTACGCCTACACCAGCCAATCAGAAGGCAAGATGAGGTAGTCCCTGTGTTGTTTTGAACTACAGGAGTGCCTGTGGTTGGTTGGAGCTTGATGCCTGCAAGGTAAAAACAGGGGATTAGCTGCCCTCTTTTGAGCAAAATCAGAACTGGGCAGTGCAGCGTCTCAGTTTTAATGTGGGAAGGTGGGACATGGCGGGTAGGGATTGATGTGGGTGAGTTTGAATTGGGGTTGTCAGGGTGTAAATTATCCTATGGCTCTGTCTGTGCAGATTAGGCAGCTCCATCTCTAGCTGGCCTCCTCTATGAGCCGAGCCAAGGTGTCTCTGAGCTCCGTCAGCTCAAAGATCTTGCCGTCCAGCATCTCCAGCAGCGTCCGCAGGCTCTTTCTGAAATTCTCCTGTTCCTCTTGGTTCTCCTCTAGCCGCTGCTCCGCGCCCGCCAGCTGCTCCTCAAGCACCCGACTGCGCAGCTCCGTCTCCTGGAGAAACAACATTGTTAACATGTTTATGTTATTAGGTGGGCAATAACAGTTTTTTTTTGTTTTGGTATACATGAGATTTTTTATTTGACACAAGAAACATCTGCTTTGAGTTTAGTAACTATCTCTTTCACTCACCTCAAGTTTCTGGGTAAGAGTGTCTTTTTGCTCCATCAGGTCGTTCATGTTTTCCAATTCCTCTTTCAACTTTTCCATTTCCTGGACGACATTAAAACAGATTAAAAGGCTGAGTAACATGAATCTAGGGTGCATGAGCTATTGCATTTCAAGGCAAGCCACTCCCCTTATTCTCACACACACACACACACACACACACACACACACACACACACACACACACACCTCTTCTTTATCCCTTAGCGTAGTCTCCAGCTCCTCTATGGTTTGGTTCAGTTCAGTCTTTTGTGATTTGATCACCGGGGTTTGGTTGCTCTGGCATTCCAGCTCTGTCACCTAAAAGGACAAAATGGACATCATGATTCAGATCCATGGAGAGAGAGAGATTGGTGCAACAGAAACAACCTATCTTTTATTCCCAGAATACCTCTTTTTACTCTCCCTCATGTTTACACTCGTCTCTCCTCTCTGTTTTTTTCTCCCATCCTCTCATGTCGACTTCACACCATCCTTTCCCCAATGATCACTCCTGTTTGATTTGAATGAATTAATCACACATGAAAACAAGCAACAGCATTCCCGTGCCCCTTCCCTCACCCGTTTGTGTAGTCTCTCGGCCTCCTCCTGGTAGGCAGCCAGTTGTTGTTTCCACTGTTTGACGTTGGCTGTGGACTCCAGCAGAGCTGCCGTTAGCTTGGCATTGTTCCCCTTTAGTGCCTCCAGCTCAGCCTCCCAGTGTTTTGTCATGGCGGGGCTGCAGAGCACAGGGACATATCAGTTTACCACAACAGTAGAATAAGATAATAAGTGTTCATGCTTTCATGTTGGATGTGACTGTGAAGATTTATTTCCAACAAGACCTCAGACAAAATTACAGTATCAGAACCTTTATTGTCTTGTAAGTAGCCAGATATCCATCCATCCATCCATCCATCCATCCATCCATCCATCCATCCATCCATCCATCCATCCTTGCTCCAGTGCTGAAAGCTGACAAAGGCTGCAGCAGGCGCTCAGACTGGAAGGATCGGCACTTTCGGGCCAGTAACTGTGAAAGCAGCCGTCTGCCACATGAGTTGTAATCTGAGATTATATCCTCAGACTGGCTGGAGCCTAATCTGGTCCAGCTACTCACAGACCAGAAGATGAGATGAGAGATAAGGGAGAAGTGATTGAATGTGATTGAATTTCATGATGGAGAGGCGTAGTGAGTCGGAAGAAAAAGGCTGGTGGAAAAAAACCCTCCACTTGCATATGGGCTATTCAGTCGACAGTTCAGAGCTGAAGTGTAATATTAGATATACTGTATGTTTTAAGGGAAAATGCTTCCGCTCTGCATCTCCCTTGATAGACATGACAATTACAGGAATTCGTTTAAGATTTACATAATGCCCACTCTGTCTCTCACATAATGTCTGACTTGGGCGGGAGAATGTACAAGAGACCTAAACGTTGTCGAGTACCGACATCGAGTCAAGTACCTTTGAAAAGGAGCTCCTACTCCCACACACTCCACAGTAATTCCTCACTGCGGTGGAAACAGATCCACATAAAAACACAAAAGGAAGCTCAGCTCGCTCAAGGAGTGATGAGGGTCTGAGTATGACCCATAACAATGTAGTTTTCAGTTTTGTTCCACCCCCTCACTGACCCACACACACATACACACACACATATATATATATATATATATATATATATGTTCACACACTGCAGCAGTACTCCACTATGCCATAACACCCACTCTGTGAAGTGTAAAAGAGAGAAAGCCCAGATCTAATTCACTCAGGACTCCCACGGTGCCTTCAGTTCTTACACAACAGCCACCCCCTCTGTGAGTGCAAGTGTGTCTGCGTGTGTGACGCATAGGAGGGAGACGACACTTCATCCTACACATGCACATACTAACTGACACACAACCACACACACACATACACACACAGACACACACACACACACACACACACACATACACACATCACGCGATGCTGTCACCAAGGCACACAGCCCCGCCAATGTATAAACCTCACACACACCAGCTCGAAGAGCAGGAGAGCAGGCGAGACGTCAAGATGTGAAGATGGAGACAGACGGAGAAAGCAAGGGAGAGCGACGGCGGGAAAATTAGAGGAGTGAAAAGAGTGCAAGATGTTTTGACATTGGTGTTCGGTTTCATTAATTATGAGGCTGGCTGAAAGGTTTCAGGAGGGCACCTGAGCACAATTCTGGGACAGGAGAGCAGAGCTGAAGGTGTGTGAGACACACGGAGGGTAAGTTAGCTGCTGCTGTGTCACTCAACTGCTGATTGTAAAGATGATGTGATTATTTACTAAATGATTATTTATCATGTGGATTTTATTGGCTATTGATATTTTTCAGTTGCTGATCATTATGCCATTTTGTTATAATTTCTCTTCTACTCATGCAAGAGCCAATTACTATAATGTTTAACTGAAGAGACAAAAAGTTCCTCTTTGTATCAGCTTGAAATTGTTAGGATTTTGTTTTTACACCTCTTTTTTTTTTGGAATAAAATTCACTCAAATTCTCAAAATCCCAGACTCTAGAAGTCTGTTTCTGTTACAAAAGATTGTATTGATGGTAAACAGTTATGTGTTTTTCTCTGTTTCATGTGAACAATATTCTTCCAAACAGAATGTGTCATGATGAGGAGCAGATTTTGTGGGGTGTGAGGTTTTATTATTATTATTTATTTATTTTTTTTATCATTTTATTGGTTTTAAATGTATTTTGTATTATTTTCTTCTTGACTGAAGAAGAAAATATCTTCTTGATTGAATTCTGAATGTTTTTTATGGTTTGGACATAACCTGTACACGCTGCTAATACACCATAACTCTTGAATAAAACATCAACACTCTGTTTTGTGTTTTACTACTTCACAATGTCAATCATAATTCTCCTCCCAGGCTCAATAAAGCTACCAAACACAAAGCGTAAACTTGTGTGACACAAGGTTTTTCTACAGCTGTCTTGGGTTTCTGCCGCGTCCTGACCGCTGTGCGTTGTCAGGTAGGTTCTTCCTCCTCACGGAGCCCTTCAAGAAGCAGGGAGGCAGAGCAGTTGCCATGGCAGCACCGGAGGAACGGAGGCGCTCGTGGCACCCTGACGTATGACATCGGCACTGTCTCCGTTCACACAAGCCTACCACAAACCCACCGACAGACGCCTACATCCTCCAACACTAGAAGACCATTCACACAGAGCCTGGCCAGTCCCAACAAAAGGTCTTATAACATAGTGAAAACCATTCAAAACGAGTCCACTGCAGATCTGCCAAACACGCCTACATCCTGCGATATAAAAAACCCTCTCACAGCCCTGCATACAGCTGTCTCTCATCCTCCTCTCTCTTCCTCTGCCCTCTGCACCCACACATACCTGCCTACACAGACCTGCTAAGCAGCAGTGTGGTGTACACGTTATGAAGATAAGTCATCATCTAATTCCAGACACACGGCAGAGAGACAAACCGAGACCATCATAGAGGTCTGGTGCAAAAAGACAGCAAACACCTGTGTGCGCAGGTGTGTTTCAACATGTGGCTCTGAACCTTCATGAAGCACTACACAAGTAAACACATTCAAAATACACTACAAACATTTTTATTATTTTGTTTTAGCTATCAAATCAACTGTGTGCTTACACACTGTTAAACAAATGGCAAGAAAATACATTTTAACTGCAGTTTGAGGCATTCGTGAGGCTGATGGAGCTACTGCGAAAGGTGATAGACATGTGAGATGAGCCACACAGTACATACTAAACTGAAGAACCATGAATCATAGCGAGAACAGACAGAAAAAGAGAGGGTTATGTAGGAAAAAATCTGGATGGTCCTTGCATCTACCCTCTCTGCATATGCCTCTCAGAAAATACAAGACTGAGGTTTGCTTGTTATGTCCACGCTTGCCATTGCGAATGCTGAGAGTCGACCCTGTCTCCCACACATGCAGCATTAATAGACATATCAGCAGCAAGGCTGCAGCAGGCAGTGGGTGTCCTCTCTACAGCCCGCTCTCACTGCACAGATCTGTGTAGCCTTACAGGAGTTCATGATGTAGCGGTAGGGATTTCGAAGCATTTGCACTTGAGCTTGTCAGGGCTTTAACACATTAATAAAAACATCTAGTGTCTCTAAAGATCTGTAAAATGATCTTTAAATATCAAAAAAAAAATGGGAGGGTACTCCACTCAAACACCAAAAAAAGAGTGATAATACATTAAGCGATTGAATGATATCTTTAATTAATAAGAATCGCAGCCAGAAAAGAATGAAAGTGGTACAAATTACAGAGATTTTACAAATGAAAAGACCTGAGTGTACAGTCGACTACAAGTGACAGTAGATAAAAGGACAGAACATTTCCTCTCCAGAGAAAAAAAAACACACCTCACTCACTCCAGTGACTCAAACCGATTGTCGTCCTGTTCAGTTTATTTATTGTAAGGAGTGTATGTGCAGTTGGTGCATTTCTAGGTATCAGTGACTCATGTACAGACTTTCCACAATGCACCTCTCTCATTCTCTCTCTCCCCAGTTTCTGACAAACACGCACACAAACACACACAAACACAAACACACACACACACACACTCTCTCTCTCTCTCTCTCTCTCTCTCTCTCTCTGTCTGTCTTGGTCTCTGCCTCCCACTACCCACAGTATGTTATATAAGTCTTACATAAACGCTTCATCGACACCTTTTCGGTGATGAACCTCGCAGCCACACCTCTTCAGAAAGCCATTAAACACAGCAAAAATATTTACATGGCACTTTGACCCTTTATCTTACATAATCTACTGTATAAGAACCAGAATTGACAATTACAAGGAATATGAAATATCCATTTCCATATTCAGCGTGCTAACAGGACACAAAGACACCAGGAGTGTATATAACAGTAGTGGTGCATGCATAGAGGTCACATACTCTGTAATGCATCCAATAACATAAAAGTCAAAAGATTTGAATTTGCATTTAAAAAGATATTATTGCATCGCAGTAGGCAAACATTAAAATATAAATATATACGAGTTTCCTTGCCAGGCATGCTCAGATTGAACAAAATGAATAACTTAAATAATCCCTCATTCCAGAGGAACACTTAGTTACATCTTTTGCTGGTCCACGTGAAGTGACAGTGTGTGAACGTCACTGATATATTTCAAGAGCAAGTCCTGTTATTTCCTTGCACCCATATTCCTCCTCACTGGAGTTTCGACATTTGTTAGCAGTTAGTAAACAGGCAAGTGCATCAGGTTTTGTAAAGAAGACCCTCCCTGTTGCTGACCTGCGATCAGGCTCTTATTTTTTCTGAACAT